CAGGAAAACATATGTGGTGAATCCAGCGCAGCTGCACAGTCTTGGAAGTGGTGACTTACTGCAACAGGCTAAGAAGGAAGCTATCTTTGAGATAGATACGGAGAGCTTGTCAAAAAGCCCAGTTCATACCTTCTTAAGTCATGAAGTTCCCTCAGATGATTCCAGTTTACAAAATTTGCATTTCTTGAGGAAAGAGTCTTCAAGTGCCTGTGCTTTGCAAGAGGACTCAAGTGTGAGCACAAAGAGCATGAGACAGAAAACCAACAGAAAAACTAGAGTAATTAGGCAAAGAGATGACCCTGATGAGGAGAATCTGCCAAACAATGTGAAAATACCAGAGGCTAAAGCTGAACAGCCTAAAAGAAACCAGACAAGCAGGAAGACGACCATCAGGAAAAGCAGTTGTAGTGATCAGAGAAATGAAGTTGATGTTTTTGGGCCGTGTATAGATGTTCGAGGAGTAGCTAAGGAGAGCACAAAGGATCCACCAGCTAATCTTAAACGTAGCAGGAAAACTTATGTTATCCATCCTTTGGATCTTGCAGAAAACTTGGATTCTGTCCAGGCAGAATCTGAAGGGGGTGAAATTGTACCTCCCAGGTATATTTGTGGGAGCAAAGCTAGCAAAATCCCCAGACTTCAGGAGATGGTAGCTCCTCAGAGGAATAAAAAACAGACAGGGGGCCTTCAAGCTAAAGTTGACAACAATGTGAATGCTTTGAAAAAAGAAGCCTATCCCAAACCAAAGCTTCAGAGCAAGAGGAACACTTCTAGACCTCCAGAGAGTGATTCTCTGGCCAGACAAAGTGATGGCGCCAAGGCGCTCACTGGAAGTTCAGCAGAACTTCCATCCAAGGAAACTGTCCTGATGGAGAAGTTCTCCTGCATTACAGGTCTGCTGTCCGAGCCAGATGGCTTCCTGAAGGAGAAGATAGTGGAGATATCGCTTACAAATAATCTTATGGACTTTTCATACAGTCTTGAATCCTCCTCTGTGACCTCTTCTGCAGCTTCGCCTGTCACCTCCAGGCTTACAGATGTACCAGTTCCAAAGAGCTCAAGTACCGAGGGCAACAGAATGCCAGAGAAATCCTCTGTTTGGCCAGAAAGCTCCCTCATATTTAAAGAAAAGACTGCAGAAGAAATACCTGGGAAAGGAAACCAGGTTGAGTCAAGTTCTCAGAGCTCACCTTCACAGGAACCTGGTAGGTGGTAGGCTGGGGAGGGAACCTGTGTTTGGAGAGGAGTGCCAAAAATCTATGCAGCAAGTGCTTATATTTTTCTTGTGCTCTTCTTATTTTTCTTGTCCTCCTCTTTTTTTTTTTTTTTTCCTCCCTTCCCCAAAGATCAATGTTCAATATACTATTTATGCTTCCACTTGTGCTGGCCAGTCATTTCTGTGGCTGCATTTGCTTTTAGTTTATCAGCATTGCTGTAAGAATTTCTGGTCACTTGTTCATGTGTGGATATTGGGAAAACATTACAAGCATGTGCTATCAGTCCTGGTTTACCACTCTCATCATCTATAGGGCATGCCTATCAATTTAGAAAAGTGTAATTTGATGCTGACCCTGCCTACTAGAGTCAGTGTTATTGAGGGACAGAATATGATGATGGTGCCAGATTTTTGGTCCAGAGTGGTTAGTGCTGCAAAGTTTCAGACTTTATACCTCTAGGTGGTGTCTTCAATGGAAATTCATCAGGAGCTACCTGAATTCGCTTGGTTGTGGTTTCTTTGTTTTTTAAAAGGATTGGAGGGTGTATCCCTTGGCTGGTAATACAATAGTTAAGCTGAGCCATTTTGGGAGCTTTTGGTTATTGGTTACTCTTTACAGAGAGTTGTTTTGTGGGGTTTTTCCTTTCTGTAGCTATTGACAAACAGGCCTGTTATACCTAGAGTGGCCTGTACTTTGTAGGGAGGAAGCTTGTTCTGCCCTCTCCCTCTTGGCTGACTTCACTTTGAAAGCTGCAGTAAATTCTGGCAGGGTCCTGTGTCTTGCTGGAAGTTTTATGGGTTGTTTGGGTGCCATAAGCTTGCTTGCTCCTCCAGGCTGTAAGCTCCTGAGCATCAGAACTACCAACTATCATATTTGTATCATTTTTCTACTACACCAGGGCCTATAATACTAGCAGTATTAGTGACCTGCATTTTTTCAGTAAGGAACCTAATTTGATTCATGAGCTGACTTTTGAGGACCAGGTCTGGGATTTTTGGACAAGAACAGTCTCCTGAGTTTAGAGGGAACATGATTAGATTTAGGATTGTGCAGTGTTCAGAGAAAACTGGCAATGCAGCCTTATCTATTTGACAGCTATGTTTCTTAGGATATCTGGAAATGATTTTGAAACACTTCGATCAATTTGTGTGAATGTCTCCCTTTGCAGAGATCAGACCACTACAGGACTTGACCAATGCTGGGACTTTGGCTTCCTCCAGCTCAGAAGTGTCAGGGCGCTCATCCAGGCGGAAACGGGACCCAACCTGCTATACAGAGCCAAAACTCAACAGGTTGGGCTTTAAACTATTCCTTCCTATGACTGTTCCCATGCTGCAACCCCTGCTCTGCTCTCATGTGCTCACTCTCGGGGCTGGACTCTGTCACTTTCTCTTTACTATGTTCCTCTTGCCCTTCCGGTTTCTGTGACCCTCCTCTTCTACCACAGCGTGGTTAAGTGAGAATTCTGCATTAGCACAGATGCATGTGGAGGCTTCTGGTAACAAGCTACCAAAGATGTTATTTCCCTCACTGAAATGAGCACCTCTTAGCAGACTACATCTGTGGTACTCCAGTGCTAATGAGGGATTAGCATAAAGATAAAATACAGGGTAAATAGAGAGCTAAACAAAAGCCCTGATTTTACTTGCTGCCATTCTGTGATAACTGAAGTTTTATACAACAGCTGAGTAATACTTCCGTTTTAATTTGGCTTAATGAAGGAAATGTTAGGTTTTGAGGAGGACTCTCCTCTGTGAGCAGGCTGTATCTGTATTTGCTTTTTCTGGCAAAGTACCTAAACAAGTAGCTGCATCTTTTCCCTAAGAAACTGTAGATTCAGTACATCCAATAGTTACTCTACAGAACCATTTAACTCCTAAAATGATGACTTTGTTGTCATGCTGCTGGGTAATGCTATGTTTTTTCCTTTAAAAGTGTCACAGTTTCAACTTTCTGTGAGGAGTTGGTTATACTGGGTCAGAAGGTACTCTGTCCTGGTACAGCTGTTCCTGTACTGGACAAGGAACAAACTGTGCCACTCAGTCATTTTATAGTGGAAGCATTTCAGTAAAACCAGAAGCTTTAGAGACTGAAATCATACATGTATTCAAGAAATCCTTTGATGGTTCAATCTAGCCCTTTTGGTTCTGCAGGAAACTGAGGCGGGGTGACCCATTTACAAACACAGAGTTCCTCTGCTCCCCTCTCTACAAAACCATGAAGAAGAAAACTCCCAAAGCCAAGAAGATGACCAAGGAGATCAAAGAGGAAAAAGAATGACTTCCTGAAAGATGTCCCAGTGCCAAGGCAGGCAAGCTAATAACAATGGGAAGAGACATGGAGCCAGAAGTAAAATAGCAGTGAGCAGGCAGGCCCCAAGCTCCTAGGGACTTGTGTGTCTTTGCTAGAATATATCTAATGTTTTGCGTAGCTTATTTTTTTTTTAGTTACAAAGTATAAATAAAGTCTCCTGTGTGGACAGTATAAAAGCTTTGTGACATTTATTTGCTGCCTGCCCCCTCTCCACCTTTAAATGCTGGGGTGCTCCTGCAAAGTCTTTGTGCACAAGTGCTTGTGGCACCACAGGCAGCTAGCTGGCTCTGCCAGTTTTCTCCTGGCCCTTCACACACCTGGGGAGAACACACCTTGGAGGGCTGACCTGCCATTGCAGATACCCATAAGGGCTGCTGAAAGGGTTGCAACAGCCCAGGCTTTGACAGCGAGCAGAAGAGGCATGCTGACATACTGCCTAGCATTACCTCCTGTAAAAGGTGGCTTCTGTGCAGTTAGGGCAGACTACCAAAGCCCTGGGCAGCCCTAGAAGTCAGAGTGCTCTGCTGTTCTGGAAAGGAGCCCTGTCAGATAACAGATATATCCCCTCTCACTGTATTTGCTGTCAGTGAGGATTTGCCTAACTAGGGAGTTGAAAGCTGCCTTCCACCAGTCCTGAGAATGCAATACATAGGACAAAGATGCACACACCTAACTCCATCTGTGCCAGCACCAAAGGTAAGCTAGGCTATACTTTGATTGAAGACAACTTCTGTTGGGGTCTGCTGCTGCGAGTGTTGGTGCAAAAGGCCCTGCCCAAGAGCTCTGAAGTAGCTGGTGTACTGTGAAGCAGGCAATCATGTTTCAGGAAATCCTGTGCTCTTTTCTATTGCAGACTGAGTGCCCACTGGCTTCCAGCACTTGCTTTTTTGGGGTCTACTGGTGTCTGACAGTTATTGATATTAAAGGGAGGGGTGGGGAAAAGAAATGAGTGGTAAAGGGGAAGGGAATGTGCTTCCCTGGAAGCAAGAAGAATGTTTCCTCTTTCTCCATGGCAGAGCAGGGAGAGGGATGCTCTGTTCTTATGACCACACTTGCTGCTGCTTCTCCCAACATAGGAGAGAAAGGAACACTTGTCTCTCAGCACTTCAACAACATCCATCAGTTCATGAGGATAGATTGGCTTTTGCTGTACTCTGTAGAGTCCTTCAGAACATGGAAACTTTTAGTACAGAAAGAAAATAGTGTCATCTGCAGTCCAGTAAATGTTACTATATTGCTTACACTTAAGCTGTACTGTTAAGCCATTAAAACAAAGTATAAGACTTCAAAATGCTGCTTTATTTATTTGTTCAGTTTCATGAAAGGTACTAAGCTTTCCCTGGTGCTCTGTAACTCTGGAAGCTGGGTAGGAGCTAGTAAGTAACAGGGAATTTGTTAAGAGGTGCTGTTAGTATGACCTGCCTGACCGTGGCACTGTAATTTGAACTGCAGCTAGGCAGGAACATAGATCTCCAGCTGTTCACGATGATTCCATTGCTTCTATGGGTCCACAAGGGGGCTTTTTCCAGCTGCACTTCTTACACAGGCTTGTGTTAGTAACAGAACAGCAGACTACTGTGTTCATTCATATTGAAGGCACAGTGACAGCTGCTAGCAGTGGCAGAGCTGCATTTCAAACACATGTGCATATCCCCCCCGCCCCCCAAAGTTAATACTAGCTGATCTACTCTAACATTGCATTTCTATCCTAACCACAACTTACACCTAGTCAGCTGCAGGGTGAGAGTTTGTCTCATGTATGACCAGTTTCTGATCTCTGCTGAGTAGTGACACATCAGTTTGAGTTTATATTGGTTCTAAAACAAAATTTCAACAGAAGTGGTACCTTTAAATTCTTGTGCACTACCCAATGCTTAGCACCATGCTACAGATCACATCTTGCCCTGGGCCAGAACAAATTAAAACTCTAGGAAGGGAGAGAGTATTTTGTGTTTATAACACATTCCAAGAGTCTGTCCCAGCATCTACTGGACTGTGCTGAAAGGTACTGGAGTCTGCCTCAGAGACAGAATTTCCCTATATCTGCTAATCACACAAAGGAATGGAAGACAAAGGATGGTAGTTGGCTTTTATTTAGTCTGAACTAAAATCTTCTTTAAAAAAAACACCAAACAAAACCATGGATGGAATTTTTCACAGTCATAATCTGACTTGCTGTATCACAACAGGAAGGGTAATAGCCCAGACACCTGGAGAAAAGTTTTGCACCTTTATGAATTGTGGGGTGGGGGAAGAGGTAACAGTTCCTATGCTTCACATCCTAAATGCATGGCTTGCATTTAGACACTGCAGCATGGCTTTATTAGGCTCTTAGCCTATAGGGCTTGGTTCCAGCATTTACTAAGTGCTTCTCAAATGCTACAGTCCTGACCATAGCAATGGGACCAAATCCCTTAGTATCAGGATACTATGCTCTGGTTGGAACTAAAAGATAAATCAAGTAAGAGAGGGGCTGCCTCTCTCTCAGTAAGTAGAGCTGGCATAGCCCTGTGAGCTCACTTATACTCCATGGACAGTACTGGAGAGATGAGGACAGTTCTGATTTTTAAGGTCTGTTGGACAGTGAGTCACCACTGGTTTGACCAGAGCTGTGACACAGACTAGCTTTCAGTCTGAGAGGAAGAGAAAAGAAACACAGATCAACAAGTCATGGGGAAAAACCTCAGGTCTGCCATGAATGACATTAGGAATCCAGACCCACATTGAGCTTGAATACTACCACATTCAGCTGCTTAGCAAGAGTAAGGCCTAGCCCAGCAGCTCAAGGGGTTTAAGAAAACACAGTCTTTTAAACATTTTTTAAAAGTCTACACGTTCATTTGTCTGGTATTTGAAATATTACACAACAGAGTGTGATACAGTGCCACTTACAGTCTGGTGTAAGTGGGAGATGTTTTGTTAGTGGAGCTTGAGCAGAACCTGTGCCTTAAAGTTTAAGCAGAGAGGCCAGCTTCCCCTTCAGGTTTTCAGCAAGCTTGTCCATGAATTCGAAGGTGTTCAGGTAGTCAGAGCGTGTGACACTGAGGGGGGGAAGAAAAGACAGACAGTTGTAAAGCCACTCAGCTGCTGAAAGCAGGCAAAGACTGTTTGAAGAAGTCTAAGTCTTGCTTTAAAACCAAAGGAGTTCTCCCCTACTCATCAGGCTCATGTTTTTTGCCAAAAGGCTCCAGAGAAGAGGTAGCCAGGTGGTATTTTGCAGTGAAGTAGGTCTCCATCCTAATAAATGGACAGGGCAGGATCTGGCCAATGTAGCCAGCTTGTCGTAAGAGAAATCTTTGCAGTTCCTTCTTTATTCC